AAGAGTGTGTTGGTTAGTTATGAAGCACCTCCCCTCCTTTGGTAGTTCTTGCATTTTGAGCCCAGGCCGTCGGTGGTTAATGAACCCTGTCCCTGCGTGTGTGCGCACAGTTGGAGGGATGGTTCGCCTGCTTGCATCACCGTGCGCCGGTGACGTGCAGCGTCTGGGAGCTGTCCCAGGCATCATGGTGCTGAAGCTGCAGCACCGACCCAGCAGCCAATGATCGCAGGACAATCCCGGGGCCACGGATGCTTTCAGTCGGAGCAGGACGGTCCAGCTGGATCTTACCGGATGGATCTAAACCCGGACGTGGAGATCTGAGGATGTGGGAATGAAAGCTTCACAGAGAGACGCGTGAACGAGCCGCAGTCTGCGCTGGAGAAGAAGAAGAAAAAGAAAAAATCTGTGGAGCAAAATAAATCCTGAAATTGTACAGAGATCGGTGTAGCTAAGCAGGTAAGGCAGAATCTGCTCCCCATAATGGCACACTATCGATTGGCTTCATTACAGCTCTGAGCTTGGAAACGCGCCTCTCCTTGTTGCAGAAATGTTGATTTTGCATATTTGTCTTTGTGCAGGCAGCTTTAGATATTGGTTTGTGAAGCTGAAGGAAGAAGCCTGTCTTAGTTTATGTTGTAGCAGACCATTAAGGCCATGAAATGACCGAACAGCCTGATTACATGAATGTATATTCCCATCAGTCTAACATTTGACTTTCCTCTTCTGGTTGCTTCATTTAGTGAACTTAATGGCTTCAGACACTTGTTTGCATCCATGGGATTTATTTTACACCTTCGTGGGGAGGAAATAAAACTCGCACTGTTGGAATAAGACGCCTTCCGGAACCAACTAAAATTTAAAAAGCAGCTGCAAAAAGCCCCCGGACAGACGCTGGAAAACGCCCCCCAGTTTCACCCAGCGACACACGAAGAGGTGTTTTCTTATGACAGCGCACGAGCACCTTGGTGTGGTGCTGTGATCTGTGGCCGGATCCAGCCCGATGCTGCGCAGCCGGGGCATGCTGAAGAGCCGCTGCTGCGTCCTGCTTGGTGACCTGAGGGTGCTCCTTCTCGGGCCACCGGCGCCGCTGACCCCCATGAGCGGACAAGCGTCGGATGAGGCGAGCGCCCCCGTCCCGGACAACAACAACACGTTGGCGCGGAGCCACGCGGGGGCCGGAGCCGCCGGGGCCCCGGGCGGAGAGCGGCCGGTGGCGGGCTGGGTGGACGCGGCGGAGCTGTCGGCGGCGCTGCGCGGCTGCAGCAGCTCCTCCGATGACTGCTCGAAGGGCAAGCTGGAGGAGAGGTTCTCTCTCAACAGCTACACGGAGAGTGGCTTCAGGACGCCCGTGTGCAGGATCTGCTTCCAAGGACCAGAACATGTAAGTAAACTATTTCATTGATCTGTCAGGACATGTGTCTGATGCGTTTAAACAACTGATTTTAGGTTTAATAAGCCATGTGGTTCCAGTGGCTGATAGGTGGGGTTGGGTTTTTTTTTTCCCCATGCCAAGATGCCCCCCCCCCCCCCCTCCCGTTTTAACATTGGAAAAAATGTATTGCTGCAAGAAAAGTTTTTCTTCTTGGCTTAATATTTTGTTGCATTCCGGCCATTTTTCTATAGCTCTGAATTACTTTAAATACAAAAAAAAAAAAAAAAAAAAACCCTGCATGTGTTCATGTTTCACTCATCTAACAAAGACCCAATCAGATGTTGAATAATGATGTTAGTTTTAAGTCTCTCCTGGTGAAATTCCCAATTTTGTTTGGGGATAAAATCATTTTGAACGTCAAGACGGGTGCAAATTCCAACCAGCGAGTTAGGATAGATTATAGTTCTGTGGCTTAAATGCATCAACTAATACACAAATGGGATGGCAAGATGTTTTTTCCAATGTGGCCAGTCACCCACGAGAACTGCCACTGGTGGTTCAAAAACATTTTAGCTTGCAACTCACAAAATTATTGTAACAAAAGCTGGTGACCCAGGGGTGCCACCATGGGGGATGGGCAATGGCCACCTTGCTGGCCCCCCTTGACCAGTTGTATCCTTCTGAGTCCCTGGCTTTTGTTTGATGTGTTTTTATTATATTTTTCCCTCCTGGTACATATAGTTCAACCTTATACGTAAAATAAAACATTGCTTTGAACAATTATGAAATTCATCCATCCATTATATTTACCCACTTCTTCCTTTTTCGGGTTGCAAGGCTCACTGGTACCCATGTCTAGCAGTCACTGCGAGAGGCGGGGCCTGGACAGGTCTCCAGTCCATCACAGGGACACATAATAAGACAAACAACCATCCACCCTCTCACTCTAGGCACAATTTAGAGTTACCAATTAATCAGCCTATGCATGTTTTTGGTCTGTGAGGAAACCGGAGTACCCGGAGAAAACCCATGCACGTACAGAGAGAGCATGCACACTCCGCCCAGTAAGGTCCCCAGACCAGGATTTGAACCAGCAACCTTCTCGCTGAGAGGCAGCAGCTCTACCAGCTGCACCACCGTGCTGCCAGTTGTGAAATTCATTTTTAATTTATTATTACTATTTATTTTATTTATTACATTTCATAAACATATTAAATAATAAAAAAAATACAATCTTCTCTCTCTAAATAAAGAAAACAAGTCTACGCTTGACAAAATAAAATATTTTTGATGCAGAAAGTCAGAGTCTTTAGATAGACAATGGAGTCTCGGGAGGTTATATGCATATTGTTCAAGAGGCAAAAGAATAAGGCTATTTTGACCCAAGGGCAGGAGGGTTGAAAGACAAACACGCTTCAGTAGTCACTGCTCAGTTATTAATTTCTGATGTAAAATTTAAAAAAAAAGTAGACTTTCATCAAAAGGTGATTCAGTTGCTTTTTTATTGCAGTATTTTATATTCTAAACGTGAATAAATTATTGGAATGAACTGACATGCATGCACTTTTTTTCAAGTGTAATAACAGTGTTGTTCCAGTTAGACTTTCTTTTATTACTTTAACATGACTGACAAGTAAAGGTGGTGGCTCATTGGTCTGTGACTGTTGGAGACTGCTTAGTCACTCAAAATTGCAGGATAAAGAAAATAAGCAGATTTTTCACTCCATCCATCCATCCATCCATCCATCCATCCATCCATCCATTCATCCATCCATCCATCCATCCATCCATCCATCCGTCCATCCATCCATCCATCCATCCATCCATCCATCCATCCATCCATCCATCCACCGGCTTTTCCATGCAGGATTGCAGGAAGCTCAAATACTGTATGTCCAGCAGCCATTGGGTGATGGGGTGCAGGTTGTCAGTCCATCAAAAGGCCAGCTTGTTTTTTGGTTTTTTTCTGTTGCAGTCTCATTGAATTCTGAGTGTTTGCAGCCAAACAACCAGCCATGTGTCAGTGTTTTGAGCACCAGTTCTTAAACAGCCTATCTTTGTTCACACGGCTCACAAAACTGCTTTCTTGCTTGTTCACATTAGTTTGTTGTCCAGCTACACCTAAACTTTGTTGTACCCACTGTGGCAGCTGCACCTTATTTCTGATTTAATTTGCTCAAGTATGCTTTCAAAATGAATATAGACAGATTTGAAGCAGTTTTTCCATCAATATTATTTATAGACAGCATGGGTTTTAGAATTGGACATGAGCAGTGGATGTTTTCTGTCAGAGGAGAGCTCCCATGGCAGGTGTTAAAATACAGCTCTGGTGCTCTCGAGACAAGTTGGAGACACCCTAAACAAAATTCAAGCTGGTCTGAGACGTCTGCAACCGCTCTGTGCCTCTTTTGAGAGCAAATCTCATAACTTAAGTAACTGGACTGAGCGAATTAATGCGAACACCGTAAGACAATCTGGAGACTCCCTGACGAAAGCTATTTGCCAACGAGTCGCGGTCCAGTGAGATACTTTAACACAAAGAAAGTTCACAGGATTTATATTTATTTCACTGCAATGTCATACTCATATATTTACAATTTTACAGCAGCAAAATGTTTATCTCACCTAATTACAGTGAATTACGACTCTGTCTAAAAGATGATGTTGACCGTATCTAGAAATATTAAACATAACTGTATTTTATGTTCAGTCAGCATGTTATTAACAAATTGGTAACCATCCTTTGGTCTTAATGAGGAATTAAATAACCTGTGTCCTCTTTCAAGAACATCAAAATATCAAAAACTCACTGGTTTTCAGCCTTCTTTCCCCATTTAGGAAAAAAAAAAAAGTCTCCCTTTGTGTTGTTAGGGCAGCCACGCAGATGAAGAGCTGGACTCTTCCTCCCTTTATCTCATTGCATAAAAGACAGCAGAGAAGGGATAATGAAAGAACTCGTCCTGGTGGCTGACAAGTGTGGAAAATATACAGAAATGCAGAAACAACTCATTACAGTCCAACACTTCAAAGCATTACAGGCATGGCAAAATCAAATAGCACCTCTGGCACTGCTGCTCGTGCACGCCACCTGGAAAGAGACACAAGTATTAATAGTAATAACAATGACAGGAAGGAGCCTTCAGGTTAACAACACTTGGGAACTTTATTAATGTCACACCCCATCAACGAGGACAGGAACATGAGAAGGAGATGAATAAAATACGAGCATTAAATTTTAAATATGCAGGTGCATTATTGTTTGACAGAGCTTTGACGAAAAATCACCAGCTGGTTCTGGAGATCCTGAAACAATCGGGCAGTACAACTGAAGTGAAGATAACTTCTAATCCAGCTGTCTGTTGCGTTTCCTTGAACCCAGCAGCAGATTTATTGTGTCGTTTCATGCTTGTTACGCTGTGTTCGTCTATAATCTCCTCGTGTTTCATCTGCTAATTACTCCAACAGCAATTTGGTGTATCAGTTCACCTCTGGGCTCAGACTTTGTAATTATTACTGACATGGGGTCCATTATGAAACTCAAAGACAAGGCGTCATCATTGTTTTCTCAGAAACTCCACAGCACGCTCTGCAGCGCATACAAAGTACCGCCTTCAAAAAAGTACACAATATTTCCCATGGCCTCCTCCAACACATCTCATTAATGCTTCGGCGAGTCGATAGCACTTCATTCCATCCCCTCTTATTAATATGCACATTTTTTATCTTTCACCACCCTTCCTTTTTCCTGTGGTCTGTGAGTTGTTGGTTTGGGTGGAGTCCAGATATGGATCTGAGGTGTAAATGAGACTGAGGAGAATGCAGCTCCATTTGGACAGAGAGATGAGCGTATTTCTGTATGTTACAGTCAGTGTGGACATTACTTATCCTCTATTCTCTTTTAGCCTCTAGGTTGTCACATAGAACGAGTCAGCCAGGATCTGATCTGACAGTCCACCTCCAAAACACTTCCATCCCCAAGGCTTAGTCAAGACAGAGTAAAGAAGGGAGGGGAAACGGCAGAGCTTTTTCCTTTAAGCATCCCTCTAAAAATAACAGAGAGGCAGCCATTGAGAGACAATTGTATTCTAATTTAATTTAACTCCATACAAAGAAAGAAGTCTGTAATTGGATCCTTGTAAGATTTTTTTTTTTTTTTTGGTACTATGGTTGTTAAAGGGATGGTTTTAGCTTCTTTCTGCAGAGTGAAGCAGAGGAAAAACACTAGCCACACATGGGTGTTACCGTAAATGCTAGAAAAGCAGCGCCACCTAAAACGAGTTACAGTAAAAGCTTGAAAAAAAAAAAAAAGAAGCACACCACCTAAAAATAACTGCTGTAAATGCAGGAAAAACCATGCTGCCCGAAATGTATTATTCTAAATGGTAGAAAATCTGTGTAATGATATATTAATTACCGTAAGTGACATAAAAGTTGTGCCACCTAAAATAAATGTTACAGTATATATAACAAGCTGTGTCCCAATCCAGCAGCTGCATCCTTCAAAGGATGCGGCCATTGGATTGGGACACAGCTAGTCTTATCCAGACCAGTCTGGGCCCACATAAGACTACATTTGGGTCCAGATCAAATGAAGCAATTTGTAGACCCTAAGGTCAGTGACTAGTTTTGTCAAGACTCAGTTAAAAGTGGATTGTTGACCTGGATTTGTTTGCAACAGCAATCTTTTTTTTTTTTTTTTTTTGTGATCCTGCTTGGACTAGCTGTTTACTCGTTAACCAGGATTAAACCTAATTTTTCCAAATCTGAGGTAATTCCAAAAGGTATCTACAACAGGTACGATATTATTTATTCTTAATCTTTCTAGAAACACACACACAAAAAAATCTAAGCTAGCCCTTTAATATGAGTTTCAGGATTCTGTTGTTTTAAAGGATCAGCTTGTCAGAAAATTATCAGTTATCAGA